TAATGCGTATAAGTACTATCCAGCGAGAACTTCCGCCCGCATAATTCAAGTACCGGAGTAAATTTTGACCGTTGGCTGCTATTTTATATTGCAAAAGGCGGTACCTATTCAAAACACGTCTGCGCGCTTGTGTCGCCTAAAATTGCCTACCGAAAGTCAAAATGACTGAGCTGGTGTCGTATTGGACAGACACGACACCAAGGCAGTAGCCGAAAGTCGCTGTGAACAAAAAAAACAGGATCAAATTCAATGGCGAACGCCTTCGAGTCTGTGGACAACAAGTCAGTACTATGACAAGTATGAACTGGATAAGTCTGAAACGATAGTAGGCAAAAAAACAATACAACAAGATCAGAATTGTACTCATTTGTGCAGAAAAGTACCATTCGGGCTCGATAACTAACGTATACAACCTTTTAGATACCGGCATGCTATCAACGTAGCACACGGATTTTCATTCTATACCATTACTGGGCAGTTCCTTTGTATGCTCCGTCGTTCCAAATTCTGACAAAGCACCCGATACTATCGTTTTTTTACACTAAAAAAGTGGCATTACTTCAACGAATTCTTATGCAACCGACAGACCGAATAGGTCTATATAACCTGAAGGCGCTGCGTTGTTAATTCGTAGAAGCTCTTGAAAGCACTGGATCAACATATGCATACGAAAACGTTTTGAAAGCACACCGTTCAGCTGGACCAATCACTTCTATCCGTAAAAACTATAACGTGCCATACCAATTAAGTACGTAACTGCTCTACTCTTAAGGGTGTATGACTTAAAAAGACCAAATCTCAAAGAAACAGTCGTGCATAACGCGATAGCTGTTGCTAAACGTTAATCTAAATGTAAAAAATATATACGTACAGACATACTTGAAAAATCTCATAATTCCTCAGAGCAAACCTCCTGAGATCATCGATAAAGATAAACAGAGCGACATACGCCGTGGTCAAAGCCAACTGGAGAAACAAAAGTGTGTACACCTTTCGTATGAATGCCATACGAACTTCTGTGATTTGAAATCTGTCTGTCCTCTCGCTGAGCTGATCGGAGTAGTAATCTTCATCGTAGTCTGCAAAAAAGACGCAGCGCGTAGTAACATACATACTCGCCATAGAATCGAATTTCAATAAGTGGTATTATGTTATTGGGCTTGTGTTACTGATGTACACAAAGACTAGTGTTTATTTGGCCTAATCTATTACCATCTGCCTTGCCTTCGTCGGCCGGCTTAGCCTTGCTCAAGGCAGCACGAACGAATACCCACGTAAAATGGCTAGATTGTGAGGGAGTGAATTGTTTTTTCTATTCACCCAATACGGAGAAGATGATCGAGTTCAAAAAACCTTTTATCCGATGGCTATTTGTTATAAATGTTGGCGAGTTTTGTCAAATTTTAATGTAGATTTTTCTCGTTTTCCACCAGCTTCATGAGAATATCTCCCAGTTTTTAGTCTGAGGTTTTAGCTAAGCTGAGGTGTTACACGAAAAAAATCATGCTCTCCCACTTGGCCATTGGAACATGTTTGGTGAACGTTTACATAGGACCATCACATGTATAGGACTTCGTACGACTGAGCTTACTTAGCTGAAGTAATTAAGTTGATTTTTCCATTATCAACTGTGCGGCAAGTTTGACAACGTAACCCAATAGCGTCTGTAATATTACATTTGGCACTTTTGGATTGGATTTCTGGATGGATAATTTCTAAGACTGTGTCTATATAATGGCTCATAGCTTGACGAAATTTTTCACATGTAGCGATGATATTTCTGACAATCATATCTATTCGCTGTAACGACAACTTATTGCGATTACGGCTTCAATTCGGAGCCTAAACCCTTCTTTGACGGTTAGTTACGCTATAACGAAATTAAAAGTTCAGCTGATAGCAGAATCAAGGGCTCCAAAATTCAAAAGCTGAAAATGGTCAGAAAGTTCAAAAGATTCAAAAAGAACTAAAAAGTTTAAAAAAAAATCAACCGTTAAACTTACCTAGGCCGACGATTGATACGTTTCTCGCTAAACGGCCGTTTATTTCTGTACCAAAAAATGTACATCACAGATAGCTTTTCGCTGAGTCATTTAAAATAGAAAATCTGTGAAGAATCTTGCGTGCGACTCATGAAAGTCATCTTCGGACCATTCAGAAGTTGTACGAAAATTGGCAATAGCTTAACGTGTGTCGGGCGCGAAGAGAATACATACTAATCTGTTTTCGGTTAAATGCGAAAACGCACGACGCATTTCCGCCATGACGAAATTGTTGAGTGGTTTTGGAAAGCGGCAAGAACGGATAAGCACACACGTCCGCTACTAAAAATGGCCTGCCAACGTTTACTTTATTTTAAATGTCGTACCCCGAGAATGACTTTTGTTTGATTGGATTGTAAACAAGCTGTAGTACACTGTACCGTATTAACGCTCAAGGTCTTCAAGATTATATGGATTTAGTATGTACTGCTAAATAATGGGTTAGGTCTACTCCAGCCAGGGGCAGATGATAATGAGGGTATACCTGAAAAAAAAGCTATTTTTATTTGAAAGATTTGAGTGCAACCTAAACACTGCGAATGTTGGCAAAACCCAACAGCGTTTCTATTGCGGAGTCATATAATTTCATTAATTCGTGGACACTGTCAACCGTAGATAGTTTCTTTACTCATATCAAATAGAAGCACAGTATAGATTAATAAAAAATGGGTCAGCATGGTATTTACCTCCCTCAGTGTAAACCTCATAGCTGCCGCCGCGTAGGTGTTTGTCAACTAAATCGTGTGTCGACGCTGAGTGATGGCTCTCTTCTAGCTTAATCGAGCACTCGAAGTTCGAGTTAGTTTCGCCAGCTTCGCATTGACCTACGGTCATGTCGTCATTTTTAGCGTCGTCACTGCTCGAGTCCATTACAACGGGCGCTGATAATACATGGTCTACGGTCGAAAATCATAACAAAAAATCGTTCTTTTCAAAAATGCGATGACCAATTCGGAGAATGCGATCCTATTCATACGCATCGTTTTGCGCAGTGCTTAATGGCAGTATCGTGCGTAAAATTAGAAAATGACAGTGGGCGGTGAAAAAAGTGTTGAAACGCAAATGATACGAGAGATACCGTTATCGGCGGTTTCATTGTTCTATTACTGTCTGTGTTATTTTTTTGTAATGGATACAGAGTACCTATGCTGCTGATCTATTTATTATAGAACAGAGATATTCATTGCCAGTAGTATTTCATGCGAATTCGACCACCACCATGTTTCGATATTACGGACGACAATTTTCAGAGTAACGCTGCACTTGTTCTTCTGTTATTATATGCTACCGTTAAGGATCAGGGCTGTAATGAGGCCGAAACATATTTGTATATACTACACGAATACAAAATGAAATGAAAACACTAAGCATTACTTGGGAAGACGTTATTGTAAATCCCCTATGAAGCCAGGTTTGTATACAGTTTGTCAAAAACCAATAGCTCGATCCGGCACTTTTTCCATAAAGTATCTCGGGGACTTCGTTTGATACGCTTTGACAATGTTATCGATAGATAATATGGGAGGGAGAGGAAGGTCCTATAATTATGCAGCTCGTAGTGCGTAGATAATAGTGACTGCAGTAAGGGAATGCCTCCCGTTGTTCCTTTTCAACCATATAGCTCTCTTGAGCTGTTTCATTCGATTAATATAAACGACTTTGTAATTTTGAGAATAAAGCTCGTCCTATCGACCTTGTCCGTTCGAAAAGTAAATACTCTGCGGCATTTGGTAGTAATTTCGTTGGGTCATTCCCTAGAAATGCGATAGTGCGCCGCTATTGGGAGTCACTTTGGAATATTTACTGGTATATGATATTGAGCTAAATTTACCCTACTTTACATCGCTGTGGGCTTATCCAAATATTGATTCTTAGCGGTACTGGCGTAAGTGTTGATTATAGAATTGTTCTCGATTTGGGTTTGTGTATCGCAGGACTGAATCGTTACGTGAGCGCTACACACTCGCAAATAGAGATTGGGTTTAAGTTAATTACAGATAACAACAAGCCCGTATAAGTAGTGCATCGTACTAACAAAAGATTACTTGCAGAACTCATTTGCAGATAATTAAAATAAACGATGCCGTAATACTATTATAAAAGCTGTTGTAACCGCTGCTAAGGTACAGGGGACTACAGTGTACATCAAGCGGACTGAAGCGCACCTTTTTTTCTCGTTGAAGGTACTTTTATTTATTAATATTACGTTAGTTTAAAAATTATTGTTTAAAATAACGCTATGAGAATAGATGGCTCTTCTATTATATAGATAGAAAAAAAAACGTATTACAGAGCTACCTAAGTGTTAGTTAGTTGACTGCTTATTTACCGGCTTTGTCAAACTTTTCATTGTGACCGAAAAGAGTCAAAGTGGCGGAGTTGGACAAGATCACACCCTATTTTATTATTTTAGTTTTATAATATAGATATATACCTTGCTTTTAAACATAATCACCATATATATATATATATATATATATATATATATATATATATATATATATATATACATAGGAAGAAAAGAGAGCGAGAGAGAGAGAGATAAAATGGTGATTGTGAAAATAAAAGTTTCGAATAATATAATAATAATAATAATAAGAGTTTCGAAGGTCGAGAATTTTTCGCTCCATTGAATCATACTATATTTTTGTTTTCCGCAGGAGCACGTGGGGTGGTCCAGGTTATCTACTGGTTGGCGAATTGTACTATTGTGTCCTTCGCATTGAGAAGCTGAAAGAGATAAATAGAGTGTCTGTTTCTGTAGAACTGATCACAAGTTTTTTTCTATTCTCGGCGATTCCACACCTCACAAGAGTATCAGAAGCACAGAAGTAGTAAAATGTAAATGTTTCATTTATATTTGGTCCGTGCACTTTTTTTTGGTTTTTCTTTACTCTAAATGTTTTGGGTGCGCTCTCTGGCGATAGACGCGAGAATCGAATTCATAGCTTGAGATTTAACTGAAGGTACCCTAGTCAGTCATGTGCTATTTCTTGCCTTAGATTTATACTTAGTTGATGGCTGATCAAAGAAAAAATATACTTAATAAGTACCAAACTTCCAAAACATTAAAAAAAATTGTTATAGTGGGAGCAACGAAATCGAACATAGATGCTAGAGATTATCTTAATATTTGTCTTCGTTAATACGGGGCTTGCAATTGATCTTGACCGCCCTTAGCACTAATGTAGCGCTCTTGCCTTTACTCTCGAAAATATTTAGCTCCTTTTATATATCTCCTTAGGTATCGGCGGCCATACGTTCATTGCATGACGAAATGATATTTGAGATCTAACTTGTAAAATAAGCATATGAAGATTATAAAGGTTTTAGAAAGTTAGGGGGTTATTAGAATTCTCTAGCTTTCAGTATCTGCTACTAGCCGAAAGCCATAGAAGGCTGAAATAGAGTTCCCAATTAGAAAACCCACCAAAAAACGAATCCAGCTACATACCTATTTAACATTGCATTTACATGCATTCTAGGATCTAGGCCCTACTAGAGGCAGAAGCTAGAATGAGTATAATATTGGGCAAATTTTAAGTGTTGTTTTCATACGTCCTAGAGCGTAGTAGATATATTAGCATACCTCGAAGTTAGCCCTGCACACATTCGGCGCATATCATTTCGCTCTACCATGTAATTTTTGTCAGTGTTGTTTCAAGATGTGCATCCAAACCAGACTTCCTGCAAAGGTGCCGGATATAGCAATGAAAATGCTAGAGCAGGATGAGAGCCGTACCATTAACAAGTTTCTCTTGAGCCAGCATATGTAGGGACTATAATGCCTTCCAGCCTGTGGGTTGCCTATCGTCTGCATTGTCTTCGTTTTTCCATCTTCGCCAGGCCAGCTTCAAATGAAGATCGGCATGAGGCGACACATTTCCTTTCACGGAAATCTCCTGTTGCTGCAGTGAAACTACCCATTAGCCAGTCTTAATTCTCTGGGCGGACTCAAAAGCGGCCAAAATGCACTCGAGGTCTCGCCTAGCTAATGACCGTTGCAGCATCAGAAGGATTTAGATTCATGCAATGATTTCGATGCTCAATTTTAAAGTATCTGCTTCTTAAGACTAAAACAAAGCGTCCTTTTTGCCATCTTGAAGAACGGATATTCGCGATAGTGCGAAGCGCTCTCACTTCGTTTGACGCGTTGCCTTGGCATGTTGACGCATAATTATCGTATATGGTGCCGACCCTGAGCTCTGCGTTGCACAAACGATGTTGAGGCAGCTACGGCATTCGCGAGAATTACGTGAGAAATATTGAGAGAGTAGTGTCGGAAAGGTGCCACGAAAACAGACGGCCCGATATGGGTAACGAAAATTTCTATGTTTCGAGCTTTACGTCCGGCACCGCTGTTAAGTATTCCATCAAACGGCTGGCTCCCAGCAGGAAATTACGTTCGAACCTAAACTACAAGGTATCCATAGGTTTGAAAGGCAATTACGTTGCTTACTAAGCATCATCATGGGGAGCAACGAAAACCAGTCTTTTTTGTCTCAGTATTTGGTCTCTGTGTACAAGCCGATAACAACAACAGCATTTTACCGCCCATGACAGGCGCCGGAAGAATGATGCAATTCACCTATTAGATAAAAGATAGCAAACAGTGCGGCTTGAGAACTTTGTCCAAGCTTAGTTCCGATTATGTCGCTAGTTCATTGCATACTAAGTCGGCATACTTACATAAACTGAAACTCCGCGAAGGGGAGCATGTCTAAGTTAAGACAGCGTTGAAAGTTAATAACCCGAATGCCAAATAATATGTCTGTTTAGCATGTTTGTGTAGAATGCGAGTTTTCTTAACTGGAGCAGTTCTGACAGAATCGATTCGTTGATTTTTTGTCGTCGCGCTATTTTGCAGGAACAAGCAACTCATTGGCGTCGATTTGACAAAAACACGACAAGGATTGCTTAAGACACCTATTGATCATACTTTGCTCGAGTCGTTAACGAAATCGCCGAACGCTGTTCGACAACAAAGCTATAAATGACCTTGTCTTCGTCAATGGGGAGTCCAGGGGCAATAATAATGGTTTAAATACGTACACCACGTCATTGCCATCGTCGTTTCGTCACGCGATCTAACCGGAATAAATTCACCAGAGACACGCGAACTGCTATGCTCAAACAGCCCCAAATTGACTTAAGTTGTCCTGTATATTTGCCTTAGCAAATGCCACCTTGCTACCGCTACTCAGCTTCATGTAGATTTCACATTACAGAACACATCTAAACGATCTCACTTTACCAAATATCCACAGACATCTTCTAGAATTTGGTTCGAGCACACACAAACGAGTTACATTTAGCAGAGAGGTAGACCGAGCCGGTAGAAACAGAACCGTCATTTAACTATAGGTTCTTCAGTTCCACTACTAAACCCTACAGTACGTAAACATAATAAAAGTAAATAAACAAAATAAAGGCACTGGCCATAGTCGAGGACACTGGAGATTGTAGGGTTACGGGCATCCGTTTCCACAAGAAAATCAAAAGAACACGCTTTTCATTGTTAGAAGACAGTACTTAGACGGATACCTCATTATACACGAGATCCAAATTAGTGATCCTAGCTATTTAGAGGTCATCAAACGATTAACGAATGATGTTTGAGAGCATTGACTAAGACGCTGAATTATCAAGTTCCAGACGAACTTGCTAATTATGCCGTACCTATCAGTCCATGCATGAACAAGGTTTCATAGACGCTAACTTCTGCTATAACACCTTTCTATTTGTTGAGGAACAGACGACAAATTTGCGTACGCAAGAGTCGACGGATGTGTCTATATCCTCTCGAACACTCGGACGTGGATCGATCATCGTCATCGCGCTGCTATACGTAGTAACTGTGTGTGACTTAATCGAGGAACGTCGACGCAGTACTGTTACCTCGCATTCTCAGCTATTACTTTAGTAAATATGAGCATTGAATCTACGGTTTTTCGACGACAACGAATCGATGTTACCAATGGGCGATATTAAGACGCCGTCTTCAACAAGTCATTGGTTATCGTACTTTGGTTATTATTAACGCTCATAGCCCAAATAGCGTTAAAATTATACGCTATTTCTGTAGAATCGTATTGTTTCTGATAGAAACTTCCGAATATTGACTAGCTAGCCTATGAAGAGACATTGCCAACTATATAGATAGGGTTCAACTAGGTCATGTATATCCTGCATACACTTCGCAGAAAAGATCCATGCGCTATGTCAGCACTATTGTAGTATTTTGATCTCAATGCAAAAATTTAGTGGATTGTTTAGTTTAAAATAAACACTATGAAATCCGTGTTTTTTCGCAAGCTATACACTCTAGTGTCGAAGGAAAGTGTTTTTGTTTTTGCTTAAAATATAGGTGTAAAACACTATGTGTGAATTGTATTTATCACGTTTCCGTAGCTCGAACATTTTATCTCTCTCGAAAAACTCTTGCCACGGCATTAGATTCATCCTCACCGCACTTCCGTTAAGAACGATTCTCCATCAAGTGTCATTAATACGCTTTTATTTGATGACGTTTCGCCCGTTTCACAAATTTTTCGTTTATTTAGTCGACCTGAAAGCCTTAGGGAGGCCATTGGCGGAACGGGTGCGTAAATACTCTCATTTGTGTAGTCGTAACGCGTTGGAGAACGAAGACGCCATTCGTATAGCCACAGCACGTTTTATATTTGAAAAACACAAACAAGATGCGCCTTTTGATTGGATCTCTGAACGCGTAATTGCCGTTGATAAACCCGAAAATGAATTGATAATCGTTAGTCGTCGCAACGAATGTTTGCTGATACGCTTTTCTGTAAGAAAGATCATATAATGGACATCACATACAGATACAAAGGAAACAAAAGCGATTCAGTATCGGTCCTTCATTTGGGTTTGTCAATGGTCAAGTACTGTAGAGTTGCAGACCCTTTAGTTTAAACAGACGCGTGCTTGCCGACGATCGCAGGGCAACACATTCCCCACAGGTTGTCTTTTTACGATAATTGTAATTAGCAGCCATAGCTCGGATGAAGTCAACTATTGAGCAACCACAAAAAGGACATCACAACTCTAGCAAGCTGACTAAGCGTTTAGCTCGTTAAAATAAGTATTATCACATTTGTAATTATTCCTTGGGCAGTAATTAAGACGTACAATTCCATGGAGACACTTTACACATCCACGTATTAACGACTTACTGCTAACGCAACGTAATACCGTCTCCGCCATGAAAACTAGAAATAGTAGCGTCAAATTGCCATCCGAAAAATGGCAGCGCTACAATTTTCCCTGTTTTATCCTAGAACGGTCCTTAGAAGAAGTGTTTGAAATAATTTACCATTTTTTTCTAAATAATCTGATTTCTTGTGTGTTCGAGCCCGCTTGCTGGGCGATAGCAAGCTACCGCTGCCCCATAAATTGTAGTACAAAAAAGAATATATTCACTATATCAGCATATAGTGTAAGAGCACCGAATACGTAGTCTTCACCCGAAAGTTGGTATTTCTTCCTCCCCATTACCATATGGGTGTCAAATGAGAGGTAAAGCATGTAAAGCGATGCACCAAGTCCCGCATAGACCTGAAAAAAGTAGGTCAGAACAGAATGTTACTACCATACAGTATACAACACCCAGTTTTCGACATTTGGAGCTACGAGCCGTTCTCCGAACGTTAACTCTGCTAATGATTAATTCCAAGATTTTAATCGGCTCTACTATTAATCACGTTATGTTATACTAGAATACAACGTAATCCGTCCTTTCGAAAATTTCAAGCAATTCGAAAAAAAAAAGATTTTTATTGTTGTATTCGTTGGCGTTGTTGTTGTTGACTCTGTAAGGACGCACTGAGTGACCCACAATAAACGTTATAGTCCACAGAGAGCAGTGATGCTAGTTATTCATTGACCAGTTTCACTGAAGAAATCTAAGCCACAAAACGCAAATTTTCTCAAGTAACTTAAACGAATTACATATATGCAAAATAGAGTCCAGAATTTACTAGGGAACTTGAGAAAATGTTACACCTCGTCCAAAATTCTTTTTTTTGATATCGCGACATCTAGGATTGCTTTACCTGATGCACGGCGGTGATGCGCACGAAAACCAGGACTAGCCCGAAAAGAACCATGACTACGAAGAGCACGAAAATAACGCCAAAACACGACGTGAAGTCGAATTTCGTTTTGAATGCAAACAGAGTTACGCCTAAGCAGGATATCGCGGAAATACCTACACGATGATCGAAAGCAAACAAAAAAGTTTTTGTAAATCGTATCATTATAAAATTTTTTACATGCTAGATAACACTATTGTACAATTTCAAACTAAAAACGTTTATTTTCAATTACCCGCTATAGCATACTCTGGAATGGGACTCCAGAGTTTCAAAAATGCGGTCCAAATTTACCTAACCTAAATTGCTTGACACGAATCATTACAAGAACAACAGCAGGGGTATTCATAAGACGGGCTAAATGATCACAACATGCAGCAACTGATAAAAGAAAAAGGGGGCGTTTGTATCTTGCTTTTTCGGCACTATAATAGCAGAAAAGTCTTTTGTCTGACTCGTTATATATCCAGTGTCGAGTTAATATAACGTAATGCATCTGATCATAGCAAAACTCTCAAGTAATCACCGAATACAAGAATGATGGAAAATGTCGGGTAGGTCGACGAGATTATGCCAACCAATATACTCATTGCTAATGTGATTAGAGTAAGCAGTATCACATTTAGCGGAGATGAGCGCCGGACGCTTGTACAGCAAGCCAATATAAAGTACAGCGGGAGATAGATTGCCCTAAAAGAAGTTATTGAATTGAGAACAACACATCAACAGGAGGCGTTAGTAATACGATGGTTGTTTACTCATGCCTATTATGCCTGAAAAGCGCGGTTGTCAGAGGAAGGCTCACGGCTTTGTGCCCGCAGACCTGCGTCTATATTCACGAATACTACGAAATACCTGCAGACTCTTCTGTCTCCCGAAAAATTGCTCATTTTTCAATTACAAAGCCATTTTCATGTTACTGCATATTGAAGATAACGCAAGCCTTCATTTCATTTCTTTCCCACTATTTCAAAACAAAATCTATATATATATATATATATATATATATGTAAAACCGCAATAAAGCTTAGCAAAAATAGGTAAGTAAAAAGATATTGATTTTCGCTTTAAAAGCTGGAACGACGCGAAAAAGTAGTTCGGCCTGTATTACTTCAAAAGAGGTCGTCCGCATATAAAGAAAAATCTGCTTTTCTATTTAATAACAGCTTAAATCAATTGATTAAAGATCAGCTGGTATACAAGTCAAACGCTCAAGATCGGCTTTGTCTGAACATTAGGGCTTGGTATCATTTGGTCAGCCTGGGAAAACCCATTAATCTACAATTGCGGTTGGATGACCCAGCAAGTTTGTTTTTTTTTTTACAGAAAGAAATAGCAAATGAAGCTTACGATTCGTTTCTACTAAATTTTTTTGGGGTTACAAATATCCAGTTTGAAGGCATCAAAGCGTGTTCTATGGTGAGCTCTTACCATCAAAATGGCTGTTGTATTGTCGACAGATAGTCCACTAAAAATAGCTCATAAAAAATTCAGCCAGATCTGTGCGTGTATCGAAAAGATGTCATATTATGCCTCGGTATCTGACATTTGCCTCAACTTTTCGCTATTTTTGATGATAAATTAATACAACTGAATAGAGTTTGGGTATTTTGCAGACACCCACAGATACCAAGCAATATCAAATAAGTATTGATTCATTATAAAATTGAAAATATATAGCATTGTTGAATATATGTTAGGTGGAAAATTATTATAAAAGCCCCATTGGTTTCATTGAAAAGAATTCTTCATTTACTGGGCTTCAAAGACTGACCTTGGTTTTGAAACACCCTGTATGTTCTATGTATAGACGTATGATAACGTACGCCTCAGTTGTCCTTAGCTGTGCCTCTATTAGCACAACCCATGTATATTGTAAAGGGCGACACCGTTAATGAAAAAAAAATGCCTTTTTTCGAGAAGGCACGCATCAGTTGCCTCAACGTCTGCGTACTTGGTAAAGCGTGCGTGTGTGAACATAGATTAACAAATAATTGCCTTGCCTATGCGTGTACCCACGGAATACGTACAGGGCAACTAATACTATCCAATAGTGATCCAGTGTCCATCTTTTGACTGGCTGAATAAGAACAAATGAGGCCGCGATCCCTGCAGTAACGACCATTTGCAAGCTTAAGATGATATAAACTTTTCGCATAAATCCGCAGCGCTCTTTCTCTTTCGAGAGGCCAAACACAGAATACGCCGGCGGACCTGCAATACAAACCATAAATTAATCTTTTCGTGATAAAAACATATATATTTTTACACGCAATATATTACGCGTGAATATTGAGGAGAACATAATATTACTAACGGACGTTTGATGGCTAGCCCACTTCCTATTTGCTCAGTTTATCTTCGAAAGCGCAGCAGCGACGGCAGATACAACTATCTGCCGGTGTCAATAAAGCTTTCCAACAGGAAAGCAAGGGAAGGCAGAAGGGCACAAGTACAACTTTGTGGGTAAAAAGCCCAAAAAGTTGGAAGGGGAAGGAACTCATTTCACGCGACCCGTGGCGCATCTCAGTGACAAACCCAATACCTGAAAAGTTATGGTAGATGAGTGTTGGACTCACTCCGTCTGGCAGCGATCCGCTTTCCATGTTTAAGTTGAGCTCTGCGCTTAGCAGCGGGCGAAAAACCACCATGGATTCTCTTTGCTTTGCCCATCAGTGCTGCGCGGGTGGGCGCTGAGCTAGGAAGACGAACAGGTTGATCGGTATCTATCCAACCAGAAGTTATGCTTCGTTAAAAGATAATCTTGTTATCTGTATTTTATTCAATTCTAACATGTTATCAGTCAATATTCTAGTAGAAATGAAGACCGCCAATTTCGAGCTTTGGATTTCGCCCATTACCAGTCTACATCTGTAATACACGCCTAAATGTCTGTGATGCAGTTAATGAGTTGAACCTGGTTATGTATTTTAGTTGTCGCGTTTACATCATGGTATAACGCTTAGACGCGCAGTCGGTAAAATGTGAGAAAAGCTTACAGTCTCTTCGAGGTGTCGTTGTTTTATCTGAGGAAACTGTACTTGTGACGCCGTTTTTTGAGCCGGGATTACGTTTAGGGTTGGTAGCAGCGTGAACTGAACTCGGTTTATACATCGCGCTACCCTCCCCTCTTGTGACGTTCTCTGTCATCTTAAATGAAGATCTCGAGTAGTTTCATCGGCACATAACGTCAACAGCGTCGTTTTTTCAGCATAGTTAGCATTATGATATTGGTAAACGACTACTGAATACAAAGCTACCTAACAGTTCGCGACGAACCAAAACAACTTCGGCGCTATTCCAGTAGAACAGGGCAGGTAAATTACAGTAGCTAATAAGGACGAAACCCTGAATTTCACTGAAACGTTTCTGAGGACATCAACTTGAAAAGAGTAGTGATCCCTATTTTTTTTTCATTGGATCTCATTGAATATAAAATAGTATCCTCGAATCGAGGAATTCGTATCCCTAAAGGTTCCTCCATTAAATACCTGCAGAACTCTACAAGATGTTTAAAAACGCTTAAATCTGCCGTCGAACAAAAAGGTGGGGTTTGTTGTCTACTCAAGTAGAGGCTCGCAGGTCCATCTCTTTCCTTTAACTATCGTTCAGAAATTGCTCAATAGACAATTGCTAGAAACATACTTAAATCTTTTAAGTAATCTCTTAAGTATTTGATGAAAAAATCCCTTATGGCCCAGGTCCACAAACTCTGGAATTCATACCAAGGTCATGCAAATAGGGGTTCCGGACCTCTCTAGGAAAACCCCAAAATAATGGTTCAATGGATATTCTTCTGTCAACTTCAGAAAAGGCCAATTTAGCTCTCGAACCCGGTTACATAAAGTCATAGCTTCGAATGTCCCATACAGAGTATCACACTATGCGGTCTGCCATGCTTAAAAATAGAAGACTCTGGAACTCTGGATTTTTTAAAATATGCAATTCTACACGTGGCCAGGAAGTTGTTTTTATAAATCAACAGTTCGAAAAATCGATACCGAATAAGTTGAATGATTAACCAACTTACATACCACGGGCCTAGCAGGAGACAAAGGACGGGATATTATAGGCTTGGAAAAAGGCGATACATTTAAGTATCTCAGTAATCTAAGCGCCTTGTCAGTGAGAAGAAATCAAAGGAAAAAAACGGCGGGCTAAATTTGCTGCATTTCGTGTGAAATACTTACGTGGTATGGAAAATCGTGTATTGGACAGATGAAGAGAACGGTGGGAAAGCGCGTAGCAGGACACAAAGCTGATTTAACGGAAAAAGGACCAGATAATTTCGAACCATTGTGAAAAGCGCCACGCGTATCAACTTTTCTTTGAGGAAAGAACACTGACTAATTGGCATTTTCATTGAGATGAAAGAAAGATATTATTGAGAAGCATTCTAGATCAGATGCGCCAGGGAGAAGCATGTTAGTCCCGCAGCCTGTGAAGTTTAATTTAATAAAAAAGAGCTAAGCTAGTTTAATATCTAAGCCAGCTTCAAAGCAGACTGAGTTTGCCATCAAGAAAGCTACAGATACTACATGGGAAGAGCGAAGTACGCTGCATCGGGGTGTAAATGGGTGATATGCATCTTTAGCATCACAAAAGTATACGGCATATAGGCACCTATGCAGTAGAAAGATGATCGAGTGCGACCACTAACATGTATGTATGGAAGAACACTGCAACAAGGAAAGATCGTGCAGAAAAAAAAGATGGGATTGAAATGACATAGTTAGCGAACGGTAACTACGAAGATATAATGTTTAACAGAGAAGACGTTGTCCGCTGTTCTCATCCCCACGATACGGCAAGCTACAATTCCAGAATCTTGAAATGGACCTAGCGAAGTGACAACATTCTCACGATGGCTTTACTTGTCGAGGATATCATTTTTATTGCTCTTTGATGTTAAACCAATTACTTCACGGCATCTTATTATTCTACTTTTCTTTTCAAATCATCGTTTTTAGCGAATAGCAGTGAAGTAGTAATCGTCATAGGCAATTATTATCACTATCATCCTTTCGTTATAATGATTTAATCGTCATCATATACTATTATGGGTATACGCCATGTTACGTATGAAAAATCTCAATTTTTCTATCTGTCCCTCATGTCTTCAACCTATCCGCGACAATCGTTGTCGCCCCCCAAAATCATTTTAGCTATCCCTGAAAAATGCCGCCCCCTCTTTAATGTTTGAGGCTTGTTGGCCACTTTTTACTCGTATGTTCTTTTTGTTCGTTTATATCACCGTAGACACATATTCAAGTTATTATAATATATAAAATGAATAGACAGATTGCCGTTGACGACACTGCAATGACGTTGCTTGATTGTTCGTCCAGTTTTCCAATATAAGCGCTTCTGCCTCGAAATCATTCGTTGCGTGTTTTTTGATCCTGGCTATATATATATATATATATATATATATATATATATATATATATATATATATACAGGTACTATTTATTCATCTTCCTGTATCGAATCTAATTAATCTCAATAGAATGAGAGCCCTCGGAAAGAATTTTCGTTTATTGTCGCCGATTCCCTGTCTGTTGTTCATCCTTACGTGCCCCTTCTTTCGACTTTTTGTTTGATTTCTTACTTTTTACCTTAGCTTTATACATGCAATAGTGAATGTAGATGTGTGAGTGTTCGCAGTTTTGCCTGCGTTTCCTGTGTTCTATCTGTATTTGTATGTTGACATCATAGCAGCTTAGTCGCGAACTCCTGAACGCCTTCCTCTTAGTTCGCTTTGCGCATCATGTCAGGATAGTTCATTTTCCTCAGTCTACAACACTTTCTGGACTAATTTCAGACCCATTGTCTAATTATCCGCGATCAGCTGTTGCTTTCCAGCTGCTAGTATCAACTGAGGAACACACACGGACAGGGAACAAATTATTATTTAGGATAATACATATGTAATAGGCAACCGTAAGTTTGTTTACCACGGAAATCATTATAACACTGCCACCATTATTATCACCCATCTTATTAGTAATAAATTGTTACCACTGTTGAATAGGTTACGTAGCAAGAATCATTGTGTAAAAATTTCGTTTGAACTACCACATTTTTTAAGCATCTGTACGACGACTTCAGATTGTGGCGCACAAACTCTGTCAGACGAGAAGAGTACAGTGATATCTGGGGAACAACTCCTGCTACGTATTTGACAATAGTAATGTAAACGATCCAATGTAGAAACCATGGAGACACTTTAGTTATGTTTACAAGCCGTGGACAAAGATATGAACGCCTTTGAGAAACACATGTAAAGCTTTGTGCGAGACGCTGTCAGGACCTTTGTTTATAGTGTTCGACGATTGGGGTGTGGGATCGAAAACACTGATTTAAGACACTCATGGAGTTCTGCGCCAGGCTTTGCACCACCGATTATGGCCGTCTTGTCAGCCCTGCTGTTCTTTCCGCTGATTACGCTTGTAATGACTTTGCCACTGTTCGATCGGTCTGGTTCAGGGTTTTCAATCTCTCAGTTTGTGTGTTGCTTGTTATCGGTACTTAAGGTTATCCTCGGACTATCAGCGGTGTATACTACAATATAGACATGTTTATTGCGCGATAGGAAATTCGCGTGTCATTATAAGTTTTCTCTAGATTCTGCGGAGTATTAAACGCTGCAGAACAATGTAGCGATAGTTGGAGTGTTCTTTGGACATGGCGGTGTTATTACAGACCATCTAAATTCTATTAATTACACACAGAAATGTAGAGTTACTCCTGACTGCGATAACACGCTTTACGATGTCAAAAAACAAAAAAGTTGTCCGATAGCTTGTTGTAATCTTTTACAATATATTTCAACAACTTGGGTCTATATTTTTTCTTTGGTTTAGTTCATGCACGTATTTCCCACTCAAGCTTTGCGCTGATGATTCCGTGGCTAGTTTTTCTTTACTTTTGTGTATTTCCCAACTATTTCACAGGTCTCAGCTATTTTCAAGATATCATATTCGTTTTATTCCTCTTCAATATCTAAGCAGGTCGATAAAAAAAATTATGGATAAAATCAGAAAAAAAAAACACTTTCTCAATGACTACCTTTTTCACTGTCTTATTTTTAGTTTGCCGGTTTTTGTCTAGTTTGGCTTTTACTTATGTTACTCCTACTCAGTTGGAAAATGAAGAATTAACAGGCAGCGAATATAGTAGCCGTTGCATATTGCAAACAACCTTCAAAAACATTTGTTCTTGAACATCTCCTATAATTTAGCTATTATGAATTCTAGTTTTTTAGTAGTAATAAAAGTTATTTCGTCGTGAACCGCAGTACACTCGGGCGGTAAATATGGCGCTAGTGATCGTGCAATGACCGATTACGTTAATCACTTTACAAGAACCCTTCATTCGTTATTAAAGAAACATAGGCTTTATTGGTATTTTCCACTCAAAGATTGCCGACACCCGGTGCTCGAAAGCAGTCAGTAATACCTTTAACTGACCTATGCGGACCTCCTATGGTTTACTAAATCTTCTGATCATCGTTAGTAGCCATATTTGTGACTGATAGTAATTTTGAGTCTGCAGTATAATTACGCCGCCATGTCCACGGTTTCCTGCGGTCGCCTCTCGTCAATAGCTTTTACATTATATATATAATTTTATCTTTTATAATCAATATTGATAGCTCTTTTGCTTCTATTCACATCGCTGTTTGCTTTATCGAAGCTTGGTATAAAGGTATATCGGTAAACCTCAATTAGTAGTAGCGGTTATCGGTTGTGATACCATTTCCTGTGCTTTGTTTGCCTGTCGAGTAATTATCGACATTGAATTTGTTTTTTTACCAATAGGCGCTTTGATCCGGAGCGGGTTACTCACACGTACCTCTTGTCATTTGCTCGTGTTATTCTAATTATCGTTCAACTTGACGTGTGGAACTACACACATATCCCTCATGAAGCTCTTCGCCACCTGCCCATTTTAGCCAACCTTTACCCGATTACTCCGATTCTATATTATTCTACGCTAGGGACTATCTCATTATTATTATTACCTAGTTTTAACTAACAAGCGAAAAACAGACTCATACTAAAATTCGTTTTGTCCAGGGTTATAATATCAAGTCGGCTTCGCTGATTTGATCAGTTGTAAATGATTATCCACAGAAAACCTAAAAAAATCGATAAGAACCATTAGAGCAAGGGTTTTACTTTGGGGAAAGCTCCTTACCCTTTAAATTTCTGGCAATAAAATTTCACATGCATGGAAAAAGAGAGCATTGAAGAAAAAGAACAGGCCAAATACGCCAAGAAAATGGTAACGAATCCTTCCAAACGGACTTTCTGTTATTTCGCTGTTTTTTTTTTCAAGCCGACACTTTAATCTCGTCAAAGTTCCAACGTGATGACAATATCACTGAGACCCACTTGGCTAACATAATTAAGATATAAAAGGGAGTTTGAGTGAATATTATTAATCAGATAATAACAAAATATATAATAGATATAATAACAGCAACAATAATAGTCAACTATAATCGCAGTATAAATAGGTTACAACATTGAACTGCTAAGTTATGATGTGTATGTGATTGGTGTGTTTGATTACTAGTAGATCTGTTATCCATGTGACAAAAATGGACCGATCAACTACGAAGAGCGAGTTCAGAGGGGCTGCCTTCGCATAAGTTCCCGATGTGCATCATGATGTTCACATGCAGTTTGTTATTAGTTCATTGTTGATTGACGCTGCTGTTTTCGAGTCGATCTTCTACTGACTTGTGGTCTCCTACTTTCTCTCTCCGAAGAGTTGGAGGAGGAAGAGGAAGATCTGGACTATATCCATGTAAAGCTGGATAGTGGCGAATACATAATCTTCGGGTGAAATCTTCAGTTGCTTGGTTCCAAGAATCATCTGCGTATCGACTACGAGAAACACCATGAACAGAAGGGCGCCCAGACCGGCGTACACCTAAACGTCACGAGAATTAGAATGGGTTGAATAACACGGTTAGAATATATACCATCAAAGAGAAAGACGATCGTTACTGAATTGTTAAGCGAAGGTTCAATATCTCAAAAAGATCTATATGGTAAAAGGCGACAAACGTAGCCTGCATCAACCTTTCCATCCTAACTGATCATCATAACATACCGTCTGCATTATCGGTGCGTTCAGAAAGATCATAATGAATCCGAAGATCATGAAGGCAACGGCAGCTACAAATAGGACGCCTGCATAAGAAGTGAAGTCGTACTTCGTATTGAATGAGTAGAGTGTCACCGCAAAGCAACAGGCTGCGCAGATACCTGTACAATTCACGCCACCACAAAAAAAATATCATATATAATTTTAGATTTTATATAGGGCATTCATTTATGTATGTACGTACACATGATGTTGTTAGATAACTACCAATTTTCGATCTTTGAATTTTAAAGTAGTAGTACAACGAAATCGTCATATCGTTAGCACAGATTGGCAGAGAATGCTGCCACTTCATATATGATCCGAATCGAAAGACTGTTTTCGTATTTTCTCTACTGCCTAGAAACAGTATCGTATATTACAATAAAAAAAAAGCCAGTTTTGTGGGCGTAGTGTACACTGCACGATAGGCATGATGCGCCCTTTTTGTGCCAAGTTATGGAATGAAGGAAAACAAACGACAGGTCTTTTCTGTTTCCTGCATCTGTGCGGAGAGTCTACGCGAAAAAACGGAGGTCACGATATCTTAGTACCTCCATTTGTTGTCTATCAAAGACTTTGTAGATAAAGTTTGTCTTGCCCAACAAAAAGGTACCGCCGCTCATTGCGCATCTTGAAATCGAAGTTTCGCAACTTTCTTGAGCATCCGTACCGTGTTCATCCCGTTCATGTCACTTAATCGTACTGCAGAACTTTTAAAGAAGCAAAGTCTATAGAACAAGGCTCCTTATAATTGGGGGGTTGAAAGTCCTAGCAAGAAATTCTGGAAAACCTGTATGTGATTGTGTTCTGTTATGAGCTCGTCAAGAAATGCCGAAGCAGTCACTTCTATGATAGAACGACAAGTAGTAATGAACACTCGCCAAATTCGCGGTGCCGATTGTCACAGGAATTTGAAACTGATGCAGACCATGCACGAATATATCAGTCCATCTAAGCCTTCTGTATGAGCGCTATTTCGGGCAAAGTGGAAGGATGCAGACTGTGGTTTATAGAGTGCTGCCGTGTATGTATCGTTATCAATTATGATTATCAATAATTACCAAAGGCGAGAAGGACTGACTGAGTCTTGTAAGTGCAGGATATAACCCCAACCATATAGCTAAGAGCGCACGTGAACAAGCCGAGTACAAGCAAGTTTGTCGGATAATGTCTCCGGATAGGTTCACAGCAGATCAGCACGAAGTACAGAACGATAAAGCTGACACTGGAAAACGGTAAGAAACCAAAAACAATATCCAGCATTATCATATTATTTGTTGTATTATCACTAACCTATTATTAATACATATATTATATATTACTATGAATGGAAATGTTCTTAAAAAACCGAACGAGTTTATTGTTGTATGTAGCAGATCATGTAAATGACCAAATTAAACAGTAATATTTATTTAAGTTGAAGCGAAAAGATGTCTTGCGGAATGGTTTATCTTTTAGCGCACATCTTCATATTATGTATAATGTGATAATAGAGACAATGAAGATAAATAAAAAGCTCATTATTACTTATATGCAGTCTTGTTGCTTTCAGGTAAATAACAGCCTTATTCTTGGCAAACGTTGCAGCTTTTGTGTACCACGAAATCTACCATTATAGTGGATTCCGCGTTGTTTCAAGTTCTAAATGCGGTGACTATCAATTGGTTGTGTGTCCACAGGACTAGGTAAGTTATAACGTGGTAATGGATCAAAGGGTGAGCGATGCTTATGCTATCATTTGGTGTTGTAGTTTACTTACTAGGCTCCAATGGCAGCTCCAGGATTTCGCAGTACCCATGTGTTAACGCTTTCAGTATAGATGAATATGGCGATGAAGCCTGTGGTCACGGCCAACTGTATAAAGAGAATCCAGTAGATCTTACGAATAAAAGCCAAGCGTACCTCTTTTAAAGAGAACCCAGAACAAACCAGACCGTTATCCGCACCTGAAATTAGAGTTCAGAGAACAGTCCGGTGTGATGACCAGCAAAAAATGATTTGCTTCTGCCAATACAAAACAATAATTCTTCCCCATAATGGTGTATGATATAGACCCTGCATATCTGCATAATAACAACCTAACTATCGTTACCTAACTATTATAGTTCCAGAACTTTTTAAACTCCATGCAAGAATAAGTGAGAACTGATTACAGATTTTGGTTCCGTGTAGCTTCGCTTACCAACCAGCGTTTATATATTAGACGCTTGCACTGGACAGTTCCCCACTACATTTCGTCCGGTATTTTTTTACCAGATTATATAAACGTTGCTTGTCTACTCTGTAGGAATATCGGTCGGAAGCTGTATTCCAAAGTGGGAAGAAAGCGGACAGACTGAGAATTATACGAAGTCTTATATGGCACACCGCTTGGCTTTGCGGTGCTATATATATATATAGATTCCAAATTATGCCATTACTGCACGGAGTCAATCAGGCTTGTTTCTCGCTGTAACTATTTCAGATGGGACGCTGAGGTGCTTTTAATGACATAGTAAAAATATGTATCAATGTAACGCACAATTTCCTACCCACATTCGTTCGGACCAACGGTTTCTATTCGGGTGATCCCACCGTCACCTATGGTTGCGAATGCTCCATACACCGTTCGACTGTTATAGCAAAACGCTCTGATTGTTTTGTCGTGCTATGATCTCGTTTCGAGTTGGAAATGAAGCGAGCGTTGGCGTACGCGTCTGTACAAGCGAACATACGCTACACGTCTTACGAATAAATGAAAATCTAACAGATACTATATTTTCTAAGGGAATTTATTAAATCACTTATACTATACAGCACATGCGAGACGGCTGAACATTCTACGACATTATTTAGATTATTAACAACAGTAACGATACGTTTATGAATTTAATTTGCTTTCACGCCCGTCCACCTCGTCAATTACATAATCCAGCGGAGGGAGACACAATGTCGCATTACCACGTTACACTAATTTGATCATATAGAACGACATTTATGAGCCCAAAAGGGGAAAATTGCCAAAGAAGCGAACGAACCCACTTACGATAGAAGCTTTATATATATACATATATTTATTAAATACTAAATAAAATATACTCGGAGTATTTGGTTGATACTAATGTTTGGGCAGGCGGTTATTTTGCCTACTGGTGTTACAGGGTGTCCCAAATTTCCCCCGACACAGTCAAATGAGTACTCGATTCCGCCTTATATTACCGATTGTCTCATCATAGAGACTTTTACACTTAGTATACTATTATACATATTGTATAACGAGATGGTTTGTACGCCCAAGACTTCGGCCTTCAACTCCTGCCAACAACATATAAAATTTATGTACACCACTGAATGTGCCATAAGAACATTGTATTTAAGGATTTTCTTATTTATGCAAACTAAACATAATATATTGAAATATACGCGCCGACGAACTGATTGTGCTGGGACAATTATAGGTTGTAGTAGACCTGTGCTGTCATCGCCACTCATGGCCATAGCAACGTAGGGAAGTGCTAAAGAGGGCATATCATTTTGAATGAATATAAGGGAGTAAGCTTCCACGTTCTCCTACGAGATCGTTTGCTGAAACCATTCGGCGGATTGGCGATCTTTCGAGATTTGTTTTGGGCTTAAGCAATAATGCACTCATGTTGGTTTCGAAGTAGGGAAGAATATTTACTCACATTTACCACATTAATCACCTACACCACAACGAATCGCTTAGAATGACCTAGAACATCAAGGGAACACCCAGGTGATTGGCTTAATGACAACTGTTGTCATGGTATATGTTTACTATCATTATTATGGATAAAGCAACGATGGCTGCAGACCAGAACTCTACCATAGACATGGATCAGAGGTTCACTCGATGACAGCTGCCAGGGACATGAATAAAAATTTTTTGAATTACTTTTATAAGCGTTGTTAAATGTGGAGTAATTATGATCTAGGTTTCAAGTTTTACCTGATTTGCTTTTAATAACCAGGTGAGTTCTCCAAAAAAATACATGGATTAACTATCGAATCAGAGAAAGCATATGAGCCTAGCTGGTATTCGTTGTGATTCACAGTCCGGTATTGCTTTCATGGATCATAACCGTCTTGACACATTGAGCTCAAACCCGATGGGTAGTGAATTCAAAAACTAATATAGGATGTATCTAATTTCAAAGATGAAAGATGTGTCAAAGACAACTCCAAGCATCAAATTAGGTGTGTTCGGCAAAATAGTATGAAAACTCTAAACGACATGTGGTAGACAAGCATATCATGGTTATGATGGAATGAAACACAAATGATCCAAGGTCTTATATGACGCGACAGTCGGTTCTAAAACTGTCAACATGTTTACTTGATAAGAATATGTCGAAACAAGATGTCTCGTATCAAAAAATTAGGCCTTCATTGGTCTACTCTTCTTCACCCCTTACATCCAATTGACATCCGTCAGCTTTTGTCATCTGTGTCGTTGACGGCGACCGTATCAAGGTTATTAAACTACAAACAATGCGTTGTGGCAAAAACACCCAGCAGGTTACCGTATGGTGGAGCTTGTTCGTATCCGGGAGGCTGGGGCGCGAAACCCGGCTGTGCTGGAGGGTATCCTGGTTGTGGGATGAATCCTGGCGGAGGTGGATAGCCTCCTTGAGGTGGACACGCGGGTTGACCGTAGTCCGGTTGTTGTGGGTATCCCCCGGTTTTGTACTGCTGCTGTGTGGGGTGATGCATCGTCTGTAAAAAAGAAGAACAGAGTTAACGCTACTATACAATACATTATAGAGATTATACATGTCAAAACAGTCAATTTGCTTGGTTGTTCCCACTAACAATTGGGCTGGGTTACACTGTTAGTTCAGGAGCGTAACTAATCATTGTATTCCTACTAATAGCCTACTAATAGTCTTCTATTATGCACATATCACCGTATTTGTTTTCGCAGCTATTACTCTCGTGTAAACTATTGATGCCAATTTCGGATTTAGTAACCGTGCCGTATATAAAACCCTGACAATATTTACAATCGCTCCATGCGGACACCATTATATTGCATGATGTTTCTAGGCGTCGTGACAGACTACTCGAACAAAAATATCGAGGCTGCAACCTATGACTTGTGCTTAATTTAAATAAGGCGAACTCTGCCGATATTTGTATCGTAAACAGACCTAAATATTTGTCTACGGTTAACTCAAGCCGGAAACAAACGACAACAACAGAGAGCAAGAATTTTAACATATTCTGAAAAATCTTTGGACGTAACGACACAGGAAAACGCCAATCAATACATTATACGCCTCAATACATAGCTAGATACCGAATATAGATAGTTTGTAATAGAAGCGATTGCACAACACTGGCTATCGATAACACTATGTATATAATAATTTATATTATTTTACATTTTTTTTTTTTACATGACCGATGGATCAAGACCTGTTGAAACTGAAGACGAAAAAAAGCTGTACGAGCAGCCTGCGAATATGCAACATCTGTACATTATACGCGTATTGGCAATGGAGAGCCCATATCAATGAGGACGTATAATAATTCCAAACCATTCAAACAACTGTCATCGTAGTACGTTGGCTCGTGATCTATAGGTCTCAGAAAAGTCAGGTCTTGCAGATCTTACATGGCCATATCTGCATAGATCTACAAGAAGAACCAGGCGAACCCAACTCCATTCATTACCTAGGGGAAACTTCGTAGACACTACAGGAAACTCTGACAGATACTCCCGAAGAGAAAGCGCCACAACGCCTATAACCGTTAAGAAGATCGTTACCTTGCATACCAGCTCTTCATGCAATGAAGTACTGATCAAAGGTGAGCCCCTAATTCGTAAAATATAAACCTATAGCAATATTCAGTTAGACGAAGCGCCTCAAATCACCGTCACAAAGAACTACCAGAAAAGTTTCAATCAAATAAACTAAATATCACCTATTAAATTTTGACATTAGAAGCGGCCATTGCGCAAATTGCTCCAATAAGTAATACAGACCCTTTTTACATTTTTCGAATGATTAAAATTGTTAGTAGCAGATATTAAAATCTCACACGTATCATTCAAGAGACGTAAACTTATGGCAAATAAGAAGATTCAGTGATTGAAGTAATAACAAGACAAATTATAGTTTTTGCTTTTCCCACAAGTTCTCATTAATGCAGCGCTATCGAAAAACCGAATATCTTTCAAATGGGCCTAACATTAACGGACAAATCTTTGGTATTCTTCAGCACAGGAAATGACTTTTTCAACCAATATGTACATAGTCCATTATCAATTGAATCCGATCATTTATTATGTTATAAATACTAACATTTAATTAGAAACTCCTATTTCTCGCCTTCGGATTGCAGTTGTTGCAGTGTTTTTAATGACAGCAGTGGCGATAGTGCCCGCCCGGAGCTTGCGCTAGAGTTTCTCACTACAAAAAACTATATGTTAGCAATATTAAAAAATCTAGAAAATCATCAACTACGGCATTAGCGCCGAAAAATACCGCTTCCAATACCGTAGTTCCATTTACCATTCTCTCTGTTTATCGACATATTCTATGACGATATTCTATCGACATTACACTGGCCCAAAGTATATGTATGATGTATGTATACTGGTGCATGACAGATTATTATACAATACGGTGAAGTGTTAGCAAAAAGCCTTGAAGTCTTGAGATTAACACTATGCCTACAACGAAACTTATATTATAAATAAACTTATCTTATAAATAAGAAGGACAACATAACATAAATGTGCATTTTCCTTATGAAACCAACATCCATTATTACCAGTCAGGAAATGCTATTTATTATTTAACTAGCTTATCAATCAGTATTTTTTTTGACTATTTGAAGTATTGTTAACTCGCAGACATCTTACCTAACGGCTTACGACGGTAGGTCTAAACAAAATTTTGCCGAAAAAACGTCATAATCTGATTTTTCGCGCACTATATTCCAGGACACATTGAATAATTGTATTAGGTAGGACGCTTTTATAATCGACTGGTAAAAACATTAAAAGCAAAACGTATAGGCTTAAAAAGCACGCTAGGCCTAAACTATTTCGATCGTTAACCACAAGTGCAGCCATGACGTCGTACGCTAACGAAGATACCGATGACGCGAAGGCCGGCTTATAGATCGACGTGCTCATTAGCTAGAGAAGTTTGAGCATTCAATTTTCGAAGAGTTCAAAGCGTATCGACAAATCACACATGTTCCACCGACATGAAATTTCTTGATCTCGTAACCCACAAACGGTCAACAAATGTTCAAAAAACGTCAGTTTCTATTTAGTGTTAGACGCCGTGAGAATTGCTGCGGCCATTCTGCGACACATAGCCGCGCATACTTTCCAAAAAAACTTTTTTAAGCGAATTTTTTTTTGAACATTTGGATGCATAGAAAAGGACATATACAGGCAATCGCTGACTTTTTGTTTCACCTGAAGGTATCTGCTAAGGCTTTTTAACAACTTGAAAAGGTTAAAAATACAATACTGGCGAAGGCCTATGTCACAACGGGGAAGCGTGCATCATTCCCTGCTTATATATTTCCGCCGACACTGCGTCATTAACAGGCCACTAACAGCGGTTATCGTCATTGTTACCCCAATCCATCTCTTCTATCACTGTTTTTCGACGCGTTAAATATAATAGAGACGGTTGGGGCAGACGCTGCTGCTGATTGCTTCACTGTGGGATCGATTGGTCATCCCGGCTGGGAGTTGGTTCTGCAATGCCGATGCATGCATTTAGCCACCGTTGCTTCTGCTGCTGCTGCCTGCTGGTTATACACGCGACGTTATTTCCGCTGTTTCCGACGAGTGATGAATAGTCGATTGCTATTTGAGATAAACGTCTGCGAAAACATAGCTTTACGAATGTTGATTAACGCAATGTTAATGCAGACGGAACCTTGTGTTTACAGACGACGGGGATAGCTAGCACCGCTTGTCGTCATATTAGCATCCACAAAGCTGGATACAATGTGACACTAAAGGTTGTTCGTGGACAAAAAGAGAGTATTTGCATTATACGTATGACAATATTAGGCTACAACTCGCTGTCTGACAGATCAGCAATCAGCTGTGGACGATTGTCTGCGCAAAGTGGACTCGATAGTTGGTCCAGATACGCGAACTGGTATAACACATAGATCAATATCGATAGCGATATTGTAGCCAAGTATGAGTGATATCTTTTTGAACGGTAGCGAATTGCAATGCTTCTTCGTTACAACATGATCTAATTATCAGGTCTAGTCTATCTTCACTAACCCTAACTGTAACTACATATTATTGCCGTTCGGGTCATTACCAGTCCTAGCACGATCGTCACGTCTGAAACTGTCGGAGAAATAAAACATGGTGGCTGTAAACGACTTTCTTGGACTATTTGGCAGTTGTTATTAATTCTGTTACGAATGATCGCTAGTATAAAGCGGATATGTGGTACACAAACGGGCCTTCAGATGGATTTCCTAAGGATTTCCAAAAATATAGACGCGTTTTGTTCTGTTTTCAACCGTCGCTTTTGCTTTTTCTTGTTCCTACGCATCCTCGTATTTTTATAAGAAGTATGACGAATGATCCCTGTTCACGGAATAACATTTTTATCAAAATATTATTTTGTCATTGACAAGTATTTGACTGAGGTAAATTTGATTTTTTCGATTAAGTTGCGTTTGCTACTGTGGGCCCTGGGTTTACAGTCTGCAAATATTTAAGCTCGAAATAAAAAGTCTGCTTAGGTGGCAAAGTTTGGGAATAGGCTTGACCCAAATAGGTTCCAATAACACGCGCCTAACCCACCAAAAATATTTTAGATTTTTTCCAAGCGTCGTTCAGTTAATACTTTTCTGTAAACGCAATGCAGGTTACTACATATATTACCCACTTATATTTTATTGTTAGCTCTAATGGTCGAAATTGTCGGTAATGCACTTAGGTAAAAGGTTTCGGAAAATACCCCAGCTAGTAACTCCTGGTACATAGCTGCAAAGCGCCTGGAAGTCAAGGGCTACGGCATTTATGTGGCTCGTAAAGCCATATCTACCGAAATCAATCGGAACGTGCAAATTCACCGACTAGCATATATGTACATACATATTAGATATGAAAACGGTAATACGTAATTATCATTTTCACTATGATCTCTTGATGAATGCGGGCTTCATCTATTTACCTATCTCTTAGGCTGAGAGGTTATCATCATTTAAAGGTCGCCTATTACTGCCGACTGTAATCGCAGCCTACGAGCGGTGACCCGCCGCTAGGCGTGTATCTTTGCAAGCGCAGTTACAACAACGCAAGCAACAACGGTTGCCGTCAAATCAGCAAACTGTGACACGACGTGACCATAATCGTAATACACAGCCCTAACTAACATATCCAACATACTAGCTTTTACGTGTCGCATAGACCGATGAAATGGTGAACGAGCAAGCAGCTGACTAAGCTCGTGCCAGATATACAACCGACAAGCACAACAGCGATGGCAACGGCGACAGCTCGCCAACGCTGTCGGATAAACTCAGTCATGGCATAGCATGGTATAGACAGGGCTGTGGATCCACTGGCTACTCGTAGCAACCCGCTAGACGCATCTTCAAGCACGGGGTTTGAGACAACAAAAACAGTGAGTCATCATTCAACTATCGTCGCTATTTACCTAGCATACACACGACTAAGCAGCACTGGAAAACGTTACGCGATGCTTCAT